CAAGGTCAACCAGTAAATGGCAGAGCTGGCCTCAGACCCAGGTCCTCGACTCTGAACCCCAGGTTTTTTCTGCCAGATCCCAGCTGCCCCTCTTCCTTGGGTGGCACAGCAGCCACCATGCCATTTCTAATCAGAGCAGAGCCTGGGTTGCTGGATCACATGGGTCCGTATGCTGCCCCCGATGGTGCCCACCTGGTCTTCAGAAGGCTGCCATGCCCTACGGCCATGGCCCAGCTCAGCCTCATGGGACGTGAGGGCACTCACAGAAGCAGGCAGAGCCAGCCAGCATGGTTACGGGCACTCCTGTGCCAAGGAACGGGACAACAGGCAGGCAACCATCCCACGGAAGCCCGCAGCTGGCCTCCTCACCCCAGACTCCCCCAGGTGTGCGTGGGGGAGGGAGGTGGGGCTGCAGCTAAGGTTTGACTTAGTTTGCCCTGGGAGAAGCTTCTGAGAATGAAGGAAAGGCTTTGGTACCACGGGTTTCCAGCAAATTCTGGGCAAGCATGTGAAGGAGGCAGAAAAAGCTGGGAGCTAGAGGTTTTGATTCCACGCAGGACTTCCTTCCTCATGGCAAAGAGTGGGAACTGTGAGAACATACAACTAAAAGGAAATTGTCAGACCTGGGTGGGCAGGCGCCAGGAGCGGGGAGGAATCTCCTTGACAGGCAGCATGGCGGAGAGGAAAGAAAGCTGTTGGAATGAGAAGGCTTGGCTTCAAGTCCCACTTCCACCATCCACAGCTGTAGGGTCACAGACTCAGTTTACCTGTCTGTAAAATGCGGCCAGTGCTCTGCACCTGACAGGAGTTGTGAAAGCCAAAGGGAAGTTTCCCAGTGTCCTGAAATAGAATATCCCTTTTGGGGGGTGAGCTGGGGTGTCTAGCATGCTCCCCGCTCTGTGGAAGAGTCCGAACCAGAGAAGGACCCCTCCCTTGGGTCTGGGAGTATGTATGGAAGAAGGCAATGATTTTCTCATTGTTGTCTGGCCCCGGTGACTCTGGGGGGGTATCAGACTTGGGGGCTCTGTGCCAGGTTGCTCCCTGCACCCCGCATTCCTGGGGAGATGCAGAGGAACCGGGTGCAGCCAGCCGGCGTACAGTCAGGAGCTTTGCTATTAATGTAGTCAGTAAATAAATAAAGGAGGGCTTAAGCTTAGTGTACAGCAATCAGCTTAGAACTACAGCGTAATTAGCGCTGCAGGGGGCGCAGGGCTGTGGAGTCAGGTTTAAATGACTGAGTTCACTTTCACCGACGCACCCCCCAGAGAGCAGCAGACACAGCCCAGAGAGGAGCCTGCTCTCCTGCCAGCCCACTAGGGGCTGGGGCCGGGAGTGGGCCCAGAACCACGGAGAGAGCTGGGGTGGCCCCCATCTTGGCCCGGGACCAGATGTCTTCATGCACATGCACACATGCGCACGCACACACACACACATACACCCAGTGATGCCCAAGCAGTTCCCTGCCTGTGATGTGCCACTGTCCTGTGCTGGCTGCTCCTCCCTTTGCACATGGCACACACAGTGCAGGTGTCTCTATGAGCCAATATGGGCACATGTGACAGGGAGCAGGAGCGCCGCTGCTGGGGTCTCGATGCAGCCTGTAACATGCATGCACGCAGAGGCACCTGGGCTGGCATGTGATGGGCACCTACTTATCCAGTCTCACCTGTCCCTGGCCACTGCAACCTCAGCCCCAGATGCTAACTGCCTCTCTCCTTCCCTCCTTCTCCCTCTCTTTTGTTCATCTGTTTATTCAACAAAGATTGATTGGATAGCTACCGCAGGCCAGACAGCATTAGGCTCTGGGAATATGAAGATACGCAACACACAATTCCCGCCCTCAAGGAGCTCGCAGTTGGACGAATGGGGACAGTTAAGAAAGTGGTGGTTGTGGTGCACTGCAGCAGGTGGAACCCCGGAGGCTCTGTGTAGGAGGGCACTGAAGCCAGCCTCGGTGGCCAGGGAAGCTTTCCTGAGAGAGCTAAGGTTTGAGCTGAGACCTGAGTAACGAGACATCGAGATAGCCACACAGAAGGGAGGTCAGGACGTCTGTGGGTGCAGTTCCCACCTGCAAAGGCCCACAGGGGATGGAGCTCGGTGTCTTCCAGAAGCCATCTCTGGTCCAGTTGTCTGGACCATAGAGTAGGGGGTGGCCAAGTGACGTGGAGTGATCCCGAGACGAGGCTGGTGGGGTGGGCACAGGGGCTCTATCACTGAGGGTCTTGTAAGCCTTGTTAAGGAGTCTGAATTTCATCCTAAGAGTAATGAGGATCCACCGGGGACTTTAATCAGAGGAGTGACATGGCGTTATTTGCATTTTTGGAAAATCCCTCTGGCCGCCACAAAGCAGAGGATGAAACAGAGGGAGGCAGAGCACCTGGGGTCTGTACCCCCAACCCTCTCCCCTTCCTAGCGGGGGGGGCGGGGGGGGGGCGAGGGGCTCCGCAGGCAGCCGGGTGGGGGCGCTGGGCAATGTTGAGCTAGATGGAGAAGGCCATGGCCTTGGACAAAGCTCGCCATCTCTCTCATCTCACCTGCCACAACTTGCTTGACTCTTTGGCAAGCCTGCTGGCTGGGGCCTCGGCTCTCTCACCTGTGGCAGGAGGGGAACCCCACAGAGAGGCTGGAAGGAGAGCTGTTATGGTTGATAGGATGTGATCCAAGTACCACCTGAACTCGAGCTGAGCAGCCTGGGACAGGAAGGGACTTTGTGGGCATGGGGGGAGGGGGTGACTCCCGCCTAATGTCCTTGGAGACACATTCAGGAGGAATATAGCCCCTCCCTCGGCTGCCTGGCCCCTCTTCTGACCCCAGCAGAGCACCCTCGTGGCCAGTCCCGTCCTGGAGGAGGTTGCCCGCTGCTGCAGGGCTGGGGCAGAGGGCAGCTGCGGCCGGGGCGGGCAGGGGGGCGGGCAGGAGGCGGCGCCGGCCGCCTGCCCCAGGGAGGGAGGGAGGGCGATGGAGTCAGGCCACGGAGCGTTCTCAGGCTGGCCCGGCCAGGGCCCCTTTCTCTCCATGAGATCATATCTGGGTCAAAGAGCATGTAAAGCAGGCAGACCCCAGCGGCCACACAAAGCCCATTCAGCCCAGCCCCTATTCACTCACCTCCTCTCCCCCAGAGCCCGCGCCACCGCGCGACCCCAGCGCAGCGCCTAAGCCCCAGCTTTGATGTCCAAGAACAGAAAACGGCGATTAAATGTTGTTTTAAAGAGGGAGTGCTCACTGCCCTCCCATCTGTCAAGAGAAAGCTGAGGCCCAAGGAGGAGGGAGCGTTGGGGAGGGGAGGGAGGCCGGTGGGGGGAAGGAGGGGGAGGGAAGGGGAGGCCTGGGGAATGAGTGGGACCCAGAGAAGAAAGGGAGGGACGGATGGCTTGGGGGAATGGGGGCAGAGGCTCAAAATCAAACCACGTATGTCTTTGGCAAAGGATTGTTTTCCAAGATGAGAAACATGGGAGAGGAAAAAAAATGTGGGACAGAGACATGAAGGCTAAAAGAAACCCCAAGAGAAATAATGAGAGACAGAGAGGAGGAGAGAGGAATGGGGAGAGAGGAGGATTGGGTGAGAGGAAAAATGAGAGATGAGGGGAAGGAAAAATGAAAGGAAAAGAGCAGAGCAGAGAGCAAAGCAGCAGAGCAGAAACTGAAGGCAGAGCAGCCAGCTCGTGCAGAGACTGAGAGACCGCCCTCTGTCCCTTCCTCTTCCTGGGAAGGTCATCCAGGGAAGTGAGCAGAGCTCCAGGTGGTTCTCAGCCCCACAACCCCGGGGCCATGCAGACCCCAGGCCTGCCTCAGGAGCACAGGGGCTGGAAGGCCGCTCTTCTGATCCACGTCCAGAGCAGGCTGGTGAGGCAAAGCATCAGGCCTTCCACTCAAGCTGCCTGCCGAGAGGGTATTACGCAGAGCAAGGCTCCCAGAACCTCCCAACAATGCTGGGGGTCAGGCGGCCCCTGAGACTTGGCATTGGTGTCACACCTTGGAGGGACCACTGTAGCAATCACTGTTGTGTCCCTAGGTCTTGGTGAGGAGACGGGTTATTTTGGTTGGAGTTGCATGGGTAAGATGGCCTGGGGAAGAGGTGCTGAACCAGAGCGTCTAGGATTGGCTGGAACTGGTGTTACAGCGACAGAGGACCAGGGCTATGCTCCTGCCCCCAGTAAGAGGAAAGAAGAAAGGCCTAGATAAGAAGTGTTGGCCCAGAGACAGGGAAAGGAGGCGGGAGGGAGTGGTGCCCCTCGAGTTTTCTGGAAATGCTTTATTCTGCTAGTGGTGACGCTGTGTTTGCACCCCACCTCCCGCCAGTTCCCTCCCTGCACAGGGCCACCTGCTCCAATCTCCCTTCTCCACGGGGCGTGGCTGCCACAGACCCAGGGAGCTTTAATTGGGTGGCAGCTCCTTGTTGAGAAATTTCTGAAGCTTGCTTAGCTGCTAGGAAAAGTTGAAAAGGTCTCTATGATCAAGACCAGACAGGAGACCCCCTGCCTGTGGAGCCCTGGGAAAAACAAACCTGATTTGGTATCAGGAGATCTGGACGCCAATTCTGACTCTGCCACTCACCAGCTGTGTGTCCCGAGCAAGTTAAAACATAAGGAAATGGATTGCAACTCAGCGGCTCCCTACAAGGTCCGCTCCCTGCAGGCAGGGGTCTGTCTGTTCTGCTGCCTCCGTTCCCAAGGCCCTCAGCAGCAGCTGGTCCATGTGACTGGATGGACTGCCCACGCTGAAGGAGTAAACGAACGAGCATCTACTTCGTACACTGTACCAAGGATCAAACGACAGCACTGTATTTAGTGCTATTTTTGAAGCTGAAAAGTATGTTATGGACTGGGTATGTGCCTTGTAAATATGGCATAAAAGTGCCACATAAATAAGGCTGAATGTGTGTAATGCAGAGCTTTCTCTTCTCCTATCCCCAGACAGAAATCTCAGTTCCTCTACGGTGTTCCCCACCCAAGAGGCAGAAAGACAAGGCACTTTAAAAAAGAAAAGGGGGACACGTCAAGCCAGAGACAACTGAATTGACTTTATTCTCTTCTAACTGCAGATTCAAGGTATACAACTGAACATTGCTATTTTTCTTATGAGACTTATAAATAAAAATACAAAAAATGTTCACTACAAAAAAATCTACTGTTAGTAGGATGTAAAAAATATTCTCTTTGCTATAGAAGGCACAAACTTCACTTAGTGACACATGGAGAGAGAAAAAAAACCTGCAGCAGTAAATTCATTTTTTCTTTTTTTTTTTCTTTTTAAATCTTGTCAGAAACACTGAAATTACAAAGAAACGCATCAATCTACACGAAACAGAGGCCGATGCGGGAAGCTGCAATCAGGACGCACAACCTCGAGTGAACTGCTTGGGGCCTAGAACACACAGGACCAGAGAGCACAGCGTGGGGTGGGGGGGTCAGGGAGGGAGCGGGGGAGGGAGGGAGAGAGAGAGTGAGAGAATGGGACAACCAGAAAGGAGAGGGAGGGCGGGGAAGAGAGACGGAGGGTGGGAGGGAGAAGGAAAGAGAGATTGATTTGTACAAAAAAGTAACCGGTAAAATTGAAGAAACAAAATCGGGCAACCTCCTTAAAATTAGGCTAAGAGGAGGTGCTGAGGTAGACATGAACTAGAACATCAATTAATTAAAAACACCATTCTGTAATACAGAACAATCGGACTGGCACTTGTGCTGTCACGACAGAAGACAAGCCACAAAAACAAACAAATAACAAAACAAAACATAATACCCAAACCAAAAGGCTTAGTTTTGCTTGGTCCAGCAGGGCGCCACAGCCCTCAGTGCTATAATTTACATACATATATATATATATTTATCTTTATATATATGGGTCGGATGTCATGGTGCACCACCACGGCTTCTTAACCTTACAAAGATCATGCATAACACTATGTGAACAAATTCTATGACACAGCAGGAGGCTGGTACCCTGTCTGCGAAGCGGGACGCCAAGGACTCAGGGAGGCAGGGCTGCTGGCTAACAGGCCTGCGGGCCAGCACCCTTCTCCCCTGACCCAACTTCCCTGGGCTGTCTTGCACCCCTATCCTGGTCAGCTCTGCCTTTTTCCTCCAGCCATCAGTCCCACCGTGTTGGGTTAGTCTGGCTTTTTTCCTCCAACTGAAATATCCAGGTAAGTGCCACCATGAAGCTCCAGGAAGGAGGAGACAAGATGGGAGGGGGAAAAAAAAGATATAACAGAGGCCTAGGAAAAATGAACAAACAGAGTTTGATCTTTTTCTCCTTTTCTATCTTATGTCCAGTACCCCCAGCTTTCACTCTTGTTGGGCTTGCAAGGAACTGGCCACAAATCTCCCCACCCCCCACTCCCCCTCATGGACCGAGTCCAAAGGCTGCCCCCACTGCTGTAAGCCAATGGCCCTCTCCCTCTGGGGCCTTGATGCCCCTGCAGCCGGTTGTACCAACAGCATCCAGAAGGGTACCATACACTTGTGAAAAATTGCAGCAGTTTTTTTTTCTTTTTTCTAAACATGGAAAAACTGTTCAGGCACAAAGATTAAACAAGCCCGCGTTGCATCCCTGGATTGTACTGAATCACTGGGTCCCCCAGCCTCCCTACCCACCCCTGCCCCCCAGATCTACCTTCCCCGTATCCATGGCCTCCTCCAAAGCAGCCCAAAGCAGCAATGATATTTACTATTTTATATCTCTCTCTTGCTATATATATCTCTCTCTATATATATTTGTCTATCCTATATACACATAGGATTTTAATGCTTTGAATGAGTGAAGGAGTGAACAGGGAAAGAGCACATGAGTGAGGGGGGAAATGTCACCAAAAGCATAAGGGACACACCTGTAGGAGGGGAACACAGGAAAGGACTATTAACCAACTTGGACGTTCCAGGCTGGAGAAGTTCCACTCTGCTGGATAAGGCAGTAGCAAGTAAGCTTGTCAGCAGTACCACAGCTAAAGGCAGCGGGCTGGCCAAGGGGCCAGATGGCAGAAAGAAGAGGCAAGTGAAAACATTCAGATCTCACCTGGGGAGACAGAAACCTCCCCCCGCCTAGTCTCCCCAGCCCCCTTTATCCAGACACATCTAAAAGCCTCTAGATAACTTCTGACCGTCACCTTGGCCGTTAGGCTGTGGCAAGGTCAGAATTTTTTTGTCTTTGTGAGTCGGAAGCTGGGAAAGAGGCATGTTGGACTCTGTTGAGGGTGTCTGGGGCTTCCTGGGGGAGCAGGGGAGAGCAAAGAGTACAGACGTCTCCCCATCAGTATCCTTCAGAGCGCGCGCCCTGACCCGCTCTCCCTGCCTCCGTGGGAGCACCCCTCCCTCCTAGGGATGGTGGGGGCGGGCAGGTGCTGATTGAGTACCATCCAGTGCTGCAACACCAGATCACAACAATACTGCATGATTTAACACACAACCACACACGAAAAGCACACGCGCGCACGCACACACATAGTACAAAGGGATAGTTTCTTGTTGTCGGTGTTGGTGGGTTGTTTTTTTTTTTGTCTTTTTTTTTTTTTTCCTATTCACATTACAAAAGGAAAGGGCAAGTTTCTGCAGAACTGACGAAGGAACTAACAAACATTACAAAAATATTACAATTTGTAAATATTAGCTCAACCCTCTCAGCTTGGATGACTAGGAGAGGAGACCCAGGCTGCGTGGGGAGGGTGGGGGAGAGCAAGAGGTGGTTAGCTAGGCCTATGGGATAGCTGGATTCTTCTTTTCCTTCCCACCAAAGTTGAATGACATCTCACTGTTACAATACTGTTTTCTGGGATTTACAGATCCCCTGAGGGCCAGCCAGTCTCCCCTTCTTCCCAGACCGGGGGAAGAAGGAACAGTGCAGAATGATTTCTTACAGACCGCTCCTCCCCCAATGACTTCACTCTTTTCACATTATAAACACGACAACTGCTCTAGTCACATATTCAAGTTTAACATTTTTTTTTTTCCTTTCCAAAGCACTAAGTCATTATTACAGTTGCAAAATAGCATCCTGCCTACTTTATATCCCCCATCAACACTCTAGTGACACAGTTCCCCCAGCTCATATTCCCGCAACACACAATTTTTAAGGCCTTCAGATTTGGTGGGCGAGATGGCAGGGCCGGAGGGATGGGGCCGAGGGACAGGGGGGTGGTCACAGCAGCACCCATCCCTCTGACTTCCCTATATTCCTCCCAACCCTTCTCCCCAAAACCGCTTCCCTAAACCACTTTTTAAAACCTAAGATACAAACGCAGCCGCAACTTTCTCAGAGAGAGAGAAAGGAAAGAGGAAAAAAACACAACTCTTAACAAATAAAGCACGAGATGAAACAGGAGGGCCCATCCCAAAGTGAACACAAATATTGCAAATGTGCTTTCCAAAATCCAGGGCGGGGCGGCTGGGGAGGACGGGGGAGCAGCGCGGCAGAACGGGAGGCGCGAAGGGAACAGAAGAACGACTGGACGAACATAAGAGGTAGCTTTCGGAAAAACAACACCCCACCCCAACGCAACACAACAAAGGCTGGCTCATCCCCACACCAGCCCTGAAAACAGACCAATTTTGGCAATGATGATGCACACGGAGGTGGGACCACACAGTTGCAAGGATCTGAATGATACAGGCCCCCAGACCCGAATGACCCAGCAAATGGGAAGAAAGGTGGGATCTTCTCCAGAGCGTTTTAGGCTGCACCGACGCTGGGCGAGGATGATTCACACCCAGGGCAGAGCCGACAGTGACCCCAGAGCGCCCCCCAATATACCACCCCTCCGCCCCCCTTCTGCTGACCCCCTGCTCTCAAGTTCAGATCCTTCTGGACAGCTCCTTCCAGCTGGAAGGCTGTGAGAGGGGATGGGAGGGCCTCGGCCAGCTGAAGTCTATTAAACCGACTATTAATTTACACAAGAAACAGAAAAGAACACCCTCCCCAATCCTCCAACCCCCAACCAAAAAAGAGATACAGGGGTTAAAAAAGCTCATGAGGTCACAAAAAACTGAGGTAATTCAAGTACAATGTGCTAACAGGGGAACAGGGGGCACAGAAAAGAAGCAAAACATAACACAAGGCCAATCGCTTTCAACTCCTCCTCCTCTTCCCTGTGGACTGGGGCCCTGCAAGCCAGCAATTCTGTCCCGCTCCGCACCTGGCTTTTCCCGCTGAGCTCACCAGGTCTGGGGTCCCCCGGGCCCCTATGTTCAAAGGGTCCCCAGGACGACTCCACAATTCCCTCCTCTGGCAGCTACCCCGACCCCGGGGCAGGGTGTCGCCTCGTCCAGGTGTCAGACACATCTGGAGAAGGACATCCACATGCTTCCCTTGGACAATGAGCCCTTTCATGGATCCCTGCTCCCAGGGGCTGCAACAGGGGGTGCCAGGGGCTGTGTGTGTTTGTTTGGTGGGATTGTGTGTATTTAGTTGTTATGTTTTTCCATTCGGAAGCAAAAGCAGCCCAGCAGGGTCTTGCTCATGACAGGGCTTGACCAGGGTGGGGTACTCCGTATTTATTTTGTTTCGGGTTCTCAGCAAGCTAAGGATGGGAGTGGGGGCTCTGGAGTCAGCTTCCCCACTAGGGAGCTGGAGGAGGCAGGAGAGGCCACCCATCCACAAGGGGCTGGGCCTTCCCTGGACTTGGAGGGCAGGAGTCAAGAGGAGGCAGGGGGCAAGGGGGTGGGGGAGGGGGTGAGAGCCACGAGGCTCCTGAAGACCATGAGGGGCCATCCAGATGTGGCAGAGCGGAGGAAAGCAACAGAACTGAGCGATAGAAGGGAAGGAGGGCCCCTCCCCACTCCACTCTGCCCCCAGCAAACTAGAGCTGCCATTTTGAGCGTCAACCAGTGACCCAGCCCAGCCACACCATCTGTGGGCCCTCTTTTCCCTCCCTGCCCAGCCCCCATCTTGCGAGGAGTCAGTGAGAGGACAGCAGGCAGAGATGGTTTGGCTCTGACCAGAGGACCCCTCATCCCCTCTCTTGCCTCCATTTCTGGACACAAAATGAGGGTCTGGGTAGAGGGAAGAGAAAAATATGCCAAGATCTGAGCTGAACAAAACCACCTCCAGCCGCACCCAAGAAAACCAGGCCAACCTCCAGGCAGGAGAGGAGGGATGGAGGCCCCCGGGGAAGGGGCAGTGGTCAGGCAGCCAGGTCACCTGGAGCCCCAGAGAGAATCCAAGGCCAGACAGCTATCAGGTTTCCTTTTTCTCCTCTTTTTTTTCTTTCTTTTTTCCTTTTTTTTTTCCTTGCACAGTCCTTCCTTGACTTCACCCTCCCTAACTCTTCTTTCCTTGCTCCCCGCTCCTCCGCCACTGCCGTGGGCCTCGCCTCACACGTAGCACAGGTACAGGTAAGTCTTCTCTATCCTCCAGTCGGGCGGGATCTCCTCGGGCTTGTGGCTCTTCATGTGCTTCTGCATGGAGGACAGGCTGGGGCAGTACTCCGTGCAGATGGTGCACTGGTAGGGCGAGGCGCCGTTGTGCGTCCTCAGGTGCTTGATCATGGCCGAGTAGTCCCGGGAGCGCTGGTGGCAGAGCTTACACTCAAAGGGCTTCTCACCTGTGGAGGGAGGGCAGGAGAAAGCCAGGACAGAGGGAGGGGCCGTGAGGGCCTCCACAGGGATGCTCTGGGCCCTCCTTCCACCCTCGGGCTTGTTGAAGAGTTTAGCACTTCCCGCTGGAACTTTCCATGGTGATGGATACACCATCCAATATGGTAGCCGCTAGTCACACATGGCTACTGAGTGCCTGAAATGTAGCTAGTGTGACGGGGCACTAAATTTTCAGTCTTATTTCACTAACTTAACTTTAGTTTTTTTTAACATAACTAACTTTAGTCTTATTTAACTAACTTAAATAGCCACATGTAGCTCGTGGCGGCACTATCGTCCAGCACAGCTCTGGCCCCTTGCCTTCCTCTTCTTAACTCTCCCAGACACAGACTCTTCCCTTCCTTAAGAAAAGAAATGGAGGTCTAGTAAAGGGGCAGTGAGAGCCCTAAAGGCCCACAGCTCCTTCCAGGGGAGAGAGGGCACGTGGCTACGGATGGTAGGAGGTAGGGGTGAGGTGAAATTGAGGGAACCTGTCCTTCAAACATGCTGCATCTGGGCGTGTCTAGTCCTCTAAGGCTCTAACAACCTCCATGGACCCTGTCTTCCCCTTTGGGGCTAGAATGAGGGAGGGTCAGAGAACCTGGGAGGGCGTGGCCACACCCTTGCTGCTAGCCGACCTCCCCTCTCTTACAGTCCCCTGGAGCTGAGCAGAGGATGTAAGGGAACCTTGTTTCAATACAGTAATTAACTGGCCAGCCATCTCACTATCGATACTCCTTCGTGCAGAGGCCCCAGCAAATAATGAAGTAATGAACAGCCAAAGTGATCTAACTATCGACCGGCTATTTACAATAGTCACTGCCAAATGCATTTAATGATCCACCTGCCAGGTCACATCCCCGACAAGGGGCTAAGGAAGCCCCAGGGCTCTGGGGAATCCTCTGGGCTTCTCTGGTTGTCAGCAACGAGCACCCCATCCTCTGTTTGTGGGCCATGCTGGAGGCAAGAGAGCAGAGCTATGACAACACGTACCCTCTGCTTACTGCTCCCTGGGCCCTCCCCAACCCTCCCACAGGAGCAGGCTCTCCCCAGGCTGGCAGGACCTGCCTGAGGTCACCTCTCCCTTCCTCTGCACAGGACAGCTGTCTCCCCTGATGAGAGGAAGCCTCCTACTTTGCCAGATTCCACTACCTTCTACTACCTCTCATCCTTGGGGGAAGTCCTTCTGAATGTCTACCTTCTCCCCAACCCGCAGTGCCCTGGTGGTAAATATGTAACAACTGGCTCTCTAAAAAGACCTAATTTGTAGCATTTGCTCATGGCTATGTTGTCAATACTCCCACCATGGACGATTTTAAGCAACCAAGGTGATGTCACTGAACTTGGGAAGAGATGTACAAAATTGGCTTTCATAAGCAGGCGAAGCTCCAGCATTCCACTGCCCCAACTCTGGCAATTCTGAACATCGGGACCACTTCCACTTGTTCTGTCCTCAGACCTTGGGGAAAACAGTAGCTCACATTTCTTTTACGTAAAAAGGAATGCGAAGGCCGTGTGAAATGGTAAAACATTATACACGTAGAGGGGTTATTAAATCCATCTGCTCCTCTATCTGAAAACCGAACTCTAACTTACACTTTCCCAACCTTCACCATAACCTAACTCAGTGCCCCTAATTCTTACTGTAACCCTCAAGTAACATAAAGCCATCCTAACATTCACTTTCAGTTAACTGGGTCAACCTAAACCTAATTCGGGATTCACGAACAGGCATCACCTTGCACATCATCTGTGAATTATTGGTATGGCAGCCTGGAGTGCTAGTCTGGGCCCATGGGAAGTGTGCTGTGATCGATGAGCAATGTCTGCTTCAGTGTGGGGAAGAGGCGGTGGCCCTCAGACCACCATACTAACCCTAAGCAGAATCGCTTCTACTCTGCGGTGCAGCCTTGGACTATCGTCACCTGGGCCTCTCCGGGGAACCATCTGCCCTGCCCCCCCCCCCTCCCACCCAGGGCTCAGAGCCAGCCCAGGCACCCGCCCTGGCCCTCAGTACCTGTGTGCACCCTATAGTGCGTCTCCAGCTGGTGCTTGAGGCTGAACTTCTTGCCACAGCCATTGCACTCGTAGGGTTTCTCGCCCGTGTGGATACGTTTGTGGCTCTTGAGTGTGCTCTCATCCCGGAAGCAGCTGCCACAGAACTCACACTCGTACGGGTGGTCGCCTGTGGGGACAAGAGGCTGGATCAGGCCCTTGTATCCCCCTGCCCCGTCTTTAGGGGACAGGAGGGTATGTTCAGCGCACCAGGAAGAAAAGACTGCCACATTCAACATCCTGAAGGCGACTTAAGGACCCCCAGACTCTGCTAGCCCCAGAGCACAAACAGGGAGCACATGTGCGCCCACACGTCCATACTTTACTGTGGCTCAGTGGTCATCCATGGATCAAGGGCCAGTCTATGGAAGAGAGAGCCCATTTGGTTCAGGGACGAACAGCAGTCCCCAGAAAGCAGGCGCCCACAAGGGTAGAGCAGACCTGGGGACTTTGAGACCTTGCCCCCCAGCTTCTCGGGCTATCTTCTCTTCCTTTCCTCCAGGTCAGGGGCAAAAGCCACTCCCGCCTGACTCCCCTACCCTCAAAAGAATCCCTCTACACGTATCCCCATGTTCACTGCAGCATTATTTACAATAGCCAAGACACAGAAACAACCTAAGCGTCTATTGACGGATGAATGGATAAAGAAAATGTGGTATACACATACACAATGGAATGTTATTCAGCCATGAAAAGAAGGAAATCTCGCCATTTGCAAAAACATGGATGGACCTTGACAGAATATGCTAAGTGAAGTAAGTCAGACAGAGAAAGACAAACACCATATGATCTCACTTATATGTGGAATCTAAAAAAAAAAAAAGCAAGTTCATAGATATAGAGGTGACTAGTTAACAATACTGTATTATATACTTGAAAGCTGCTGAGAGATTAGATCTTAAAAGTTCTCATCACAAGAAAAAAGAAATTTGTAACTGTAAGGTGATGGATATTTAACTTATTGTGGCAATCATTTTGCAATATATACACATATCAAATCATTATTGTACACCTAAAACTAATGCAATGTCATATGTCAATTAAAAAAAATCCCTCCAATTTGGGGAACTTCTCATTGTTACCCAAATACCTCCTGCTCTTTCCCTCCTCCCCAGTTTTATGTAGCTGTTCTCTCTGCTCGATCCTCTCTCTCCCTTCTTCTCTCTCTGGCAAACTCCTAGTCATCCTTCAAAGCCCAGCACACATGTCACCCCTGTTTGGAAGCTTCCCTTTAGTCTCCCAGGCAAAATGAGTCACACTTTCTTCTCTGTCCCCAAAGAGAAGAAAAATCCAGCATTTCGTTTTTTTAGTAGTAGTAGCAGAATTTTTATGGGACTTTCTCATTTAAATGGGCCACATTTGTTGCATGCTCACTCCTGTGCAAAGAAATTCGCAAGGACCACATCATGTAATCCTTGCAATCACCTTATAAGAAAAATATTCTCATTCTCATTCTACAGATGAGAAAAATGAGATGCTTAAGCATGGTCCCCAAGGTCAGAGAGCTAGTAGGTAGCTGAGTCAGGATTCAGATTCTGGTTGGGTTCCAGAGTCTGGACACTGAAGACTTATCAGATTGCTAACTGACATGCATACTCTATCTCCTGTCATGCCCACGGTGCTTCTAGAATGGAAGTACCTCCAGGGTAAGAAGGGAGCCTTGTTCATGCTTGTAGCCTCAGTATGTAGCACAGGGACAACCCAGAGCAGACCCTGGGGAAATGTTGAGTATATGAAACCGGGGAAGAACAGCCTTTCCTTGGCTTGGAGTCTATGCCCATCAGCCTCCTTTCTGTGCATTCCACTCCTACATCCCCTGGAAGGTGAGAGGTTGGGGCATGGGGATTAACCATCTTTCGCTTTGTGCCCAAAGTGGGGGCTTTGGGGGATGACAGGTGAGAACTTCAGCTACTTATTTATTACAGGAGTGAAGGCACAGACAATAAAGATAGATTGATCACCCCAGACTTTGTTCATGAATATTTAAATATCGCTGATTCGTCTTGTCACTGTAATTACAATTTCTCTGGGCTGCATCTCCAACAACCACAGTTTATGGTAAAGAATGGCCCACTGTATTTCACTTGTCCCTCTGCAGATGTGCGGGGCTGCCAACCGTGTAATGTCCTCTGCATTTCATACATTTTCTTCAGCTGAAGAAGGTTTCAGTCATCCACAATGACCTACGTTTTTTCATTATCCCCATGTCAAACTGCGCTCGTGCCTGGGCATAAATTGTCCTTCTCGTTATAGACTCGCATGCCTGTGCCTTCACTTCCTCTTTAAAATGATATTTTACTCTCTGCTCTCCCTCCCCTCCGCAGGCCGCTAACCAAACCTCCCCCCTCTCCAATGCCGGCCCCTGTACCCACATAAATTCTCATCTCTGCTGATGGCTCTGAAGGGTTTTTAAGGCTCTGTGGGGAGTGGATGCTGGGGTCTGCTCACTGGCGGGCTCTCTCATGGGGAGAAGATTTGCAAGAAGCTCTGAGGGTGTAGAGGGGTGGGTGGGAGCACTTCCATCAAAGAGTCAGACAGGAGAAGCTCAAAGAGCAGAGCCATCCCATGACGTTGGGTTCTCCCTAATCTATGGGCCATTGCTCCGGCTCAGAGGCATAGCCAGAGCGTCCCTCCCATGCAAATCTGGGGATGACCTGAGTCCTGGGGTTCTTGGCACCTGTCCATCCTCTCACTGCCAGGGCGGGTCCCCAGCCTCCAGCCCCACTCAGCCCAAGGGAGTAGAGGCCCATGCAGACCCTGGTCCTAATTAGTTGTGTATCTAACAGAGAGAGGGGTCAGTCTGTGCGCGCCTGGGCCCGCATGCCACTCTCTCTGCGTAGACGTCTACACACAGCCCCGTCTGACATCCAACTCCCCCTCCTTACCGAATCTGCAATGATTACGACTTTAATCAAGGATTCAGTATCCTCATTAAGACATAAATAAATAAATAAAGCAAGGGCCACGTGAGACTTCAGCCAGAGCCGGTAATTAAAACGTACATCGGCAGCCACCCGGCCGGCGGGGAACCGCTGTCTGTGCCTTTCCCCTCCAGACGGGGGCCCTGAGAGTCCAAAAAAACAAAGGGTTAAGGCAGAGAGGTTTGTCTGACCAGATTTTTATGAATTTAATTATGAAGTGGATCACATGTTAAATGAGTTTAAATAGGAAATCTCCAGAGTCAGCCAAGGGAAGGGAAGAAAAAGAACTTAGAAGAAAAAAAGAAAGACAAGCCATTCACACTCACACTCACACTCACACACACACACACACACACACAATCTGAAGCACGGTGAGCACCTGGCCTAAAATCGTCACCCTGAGTTAATCGTGTCCGTGTCGCCATAATGTACACAAAACTGGCGGCAGAACTCAAAATCCAATTTGTGGTATGTTGATTAACTCTGTAGCCTCTTTAATGAGCTTGACATTAAGTGCAGGACAAACGAGACTAATTAGAGCCCCCTCCGGCCTACCCAGTGCACCTGTGACCCCAGCAGTCTGTCCTTACCTGGTGGCTTCCTTGGCACTGGCCAGGCCCAGTGTCGCCCTCCCCACCCCAGCCCCATCCCGTTAGCTCCTCAGACCCCTCCCTTCAGCACAGCTGAGAGTTTATTATATGATGGGCCATGTGAATCAGGGATCCATCAATGCCAAGAGCGCGGCTGGACTAACCTACCAAACACAGCTGCCGATGCTAAACACCCAGCCTCAGCAGCAAATGGGCCAAGGAGAACGGAATATTAATGAGGCATTGTGTGAGGGGTGTGCTCGGCCTGGATATGGCTGGTGTGCACAGGGCCTCTCTGGTGTGAAAATCAATGAGTGTATGTGGGGGGGGGGGTGTGCGTGTGTGTGTGCATGGGCAGCATACATGCTCCATGTTTCCTAGATTAAGCAAGTACTTAATCTAGTACTTAATCTCCCAAACTATGTCTGCAAATAGCCCCTCCCCATGAATCTGAGCCATGATTGGCACAGGGGCAGGTGACATTTTGATATCTGAGCTCTTAGAAGGTGGCATGGACAAAGCAGGGCATATCCTGGGTGGACTTAGCAGGACTGGGATCACTTGAGTCACATGAAGCTGACTGATTTTACCCAGCAGCATGCTCAGAAGTGGCTGAAAGGTAATTGGCCATCTTTGATAAGGCTGAACTTGGGCACCCAGTGGGGAGGTGCTGACAGGATGGTACACATACCTGCAGGGATGTGTCTGCAGTCACTATAGACAAAGTCCTTGTCAGCATCCCTTCCTCCTTAGCCTGTCTTGTCAGCCCTACCCTCTGGGACCTCCCCTTGTCCTATGCCAGCAAAACTAAATAGTTGTCAGCAAATGTGGTGGTGCTAAGGCAGTATGGTCCCCTGAATAGAATGGCATCCAGAAGTGAGAGCCCTGGCGGCTCCTTGGCGAGGATGCCAACTGCTGGCAGGACAGGCCCGCTCAATCTGGGATAAATAAAGCCCCCTCCCTTAGCCAGCAGAGTCTGCTGTTTGTGAAAGGCCTGGCCTGTGGACTTAATTCCAGAGCTGTGACAAGACTCAAGAATGAAGACGGAAAGGGTCCTGCCATCCGTGTCTTGAGGCACACCGAGTTTTTTATACCCTCTCCAACAGACATGAGCACACACCCTGTTCCAAACTCAGATGCAGAGTCAGCCTGTCTGTCTCCCGGGCCCCGCCCTGTCGCTCACTCTCACCCCAAACCCAGGACAGAACACACACAGGCAGAGACACATGTAGACTCAGACAGGGGCATTCCTTTGTCCATGGACAGTTAGTGAAGACCCAGTTCTGCCTTAGAGAGAAGAAAGAATTTCAGTCATCTGTTCCCTCGCTGGTGGATCAGGGGCTGCTGCAAGGAAGCAAATGTCTCTTGGACCTCAGGGACCAGGCGTCCCACCCCCAAACCTAGAAGATGGTGGCAGGGACTGCCAGTTCCTAAGCACCTGGCTCAGCCCCCTTGACTCACAACCCCCCTCCTCCTCCATTATCTAGAACTGGCCAAGCAGGGCTACTCATGACTCAGTGTTTAAAGACCCTCATTGCCTCCCCTTAGCAAGGTTGAGGCCCAAGTATAGAAAATTTGCTTTTGTTATTGTGGAGCAAGTAGGACCACTTCTGCAATATTCCCTTAAGAGCCGAAGCTGACTTCAGGAGTATGTGTACATGGGTAGGGAGCAGTGAGAGGGGTGGGGGGTACAGAAGAGAGAGTCAGAGACCATGTAGGTCAGTGTTTTTCAAAATGCATTTTGGGTCCACCCGCATCAGAATCCCTGGGAAATATTTATTAATAGTGTTGGGTCTTGGATCCCATCTCAAACTCACTGAGCCAAAGTTTCTGAGGGTGGGACCCGAGAGTCTGAATTTTTAATGAGCACCCTCTCTGTCAATCACAGAGAGATAACCAACGGTCCACAAAATGGAGAAGCACGGTCAACATTTACCTGCGCTATGGAAGCCCCTTCATGCTCAACCCTTGAGTAAAGGAGGGCTGAGGGCCAATCCTCCAGGCACCTCCGCTTTCTGTTTCGGGAGGTAAATCCAGACACTGGTTCCCAAGACCTCAATGGGCGTACCTGTGTGTGAGCGCAGGTGGCGTTTGAGGGCGGTGTGGCTGGGGAAGGTGCGGTTGCACTCGCTGCAGATGTAGCTGCGCACGCCTGCGTGGACCTCCATGTGCTGCTGGAGCGCGCTCTGCGCCTGGAACCGCTTCCCGCACAGCAGACAGAAGACCGCCATGTCTGTGCCTGCGGGAGATAGGAGTGGGAGAACCTCAGGGGAGCGGAACTGAGGGCCATTTTTACCCAGCTAGGCCAGAGGGAGAGCCAGTGTCAAGACTAGCGCCCCCAAGCCTCCATGCTCAGGAGCAAACGCAAGGGCGGCCCGGGCCATACAATATTGATGGAGCACCAAGTATATGGCTCCACAGTGGACAAAATCAACTTACCTCCTGCCCTTATGGAACCTAAAGTCTAGTGGGAGAAAGAGAAACGTTAATCAGATACATCGCAGCAGCAAATCTGAGTCTGCAATGGTGTGGAGTGCTACGCTGAAGGCAGGGTACCCAGACGGTATATATCAGAGGGACTTTTCGGAGTCTGGGACAGAAGACGGGGAGGCAGGGTGGCCTCTGTGAGGAGTCAAAATAAGGAGGAGAACATGGGTCGGCCAATGTGTGAATGCAACTAATTTAAAATCACATCTCAGAATGGTAGCTCTACATCCTGAGCCTTCAGACAAGGCAAATGAGGCACAGACGGACTGAGTAATTTGTCTAAAGTTCCACAGAGTTCAGAAGCAGCAGAGCTGGGATTCAACAAGCAGCCTAGGTTTGAATCCTCTCCTCATGCCAGCTACAAACCTTATTCTTTTAACCACTTCTCCATTCATTAAAGTACACAGCTTAACGGTCCATTCATTCAACAAATGTTATTTTAGCATCTTCTACAAGTAGGACTCTCTTTTTGGCACTGGGGATGTAACCATGGAAAACTATACAAAGTCCCTCCTCTCATCATAGACGTTACCCAGCACACCAGGCCAGTGGGGGAAGACGGAACAGCATCTAGAAACACTCTGGGCTGGAAAGAAGTGCGCTGAGTCGGAGGATCAGAAAGAAGAACAGCACAGTTAGGGAGGCAGGGAGGAGTGGAAAGAATGGCCAAAGAGGCAGAAGCCAGGTTGTGCGGGGTCTTGGAAACCATGTTAAGAGCTTTAGGCTTTATCCCAAGACCAATGGGCAATTGTCAAGGACTTTGAGATTTCCATTTAATTCTGTCCAGTTGTTCCCTGCACTGATCAGAAGCGCAGGCAGGTACCCAATGGTACTCTACAAAGACAGGCTACCATTTTCCGTTTGTTATCAACCCCCTTCCTGATGTTGCTCTGGAGCCACGGCCTTCCTGGGTAGAGCCCCGCGTGAGGAAGTGTCTAAACTGCCCATCAGAGTCCTAACTGATTGCTCAGTGCCCACCATTTTCGATTCCATTTCTCTAAGTACATCAGCTTCTCCGGGAAGCCCATCGGCTCGCCTCTCTCTGCTGGCATCTGGGCGACATAACCTGTGCTTAGCCCCACACTGCCTTCCCCTGTGTGAGGGACACAAGCAGGAAAGGTAGGGAGACCCAGCATCTGTCCAGCCTCCCCAGAGTGGAGGGAGGGGCAGAGCTTTGGCTGCTGGGAGTCGTGGGCTGCTCAAGGTGGAATGAGGGGGCTCCTGGTGGAAAGTGGGGTGAACAGAAGGACAGCATGAAGAGCTTTGCTGCTTCTCTGGTCCATGGATGCAGATGGCAACTGGGAGGTCTGTTCTCAGCGCTTCAGTCCCATTCATGGCAGGCTGGGGATGGACTAGCAAGAACGCAAGACCTCTCTTTGTCCCCTGCTCCTCCACCCTTCACAGCCATCAGTGTAGACACCCTGGAGTCTAGGCCCCTGCAGCCAGGTTCCATGCAACCAGCAGTCGCTGCTGCATCCAGGTCCAGGGCAGGCTGAGCAGGGGAGACTGGAAACAAGCTAGGGCAGGAGTTTGCTCCTGGCCCCACACTGCAGAAGGGCAGGGAACTAACACAGGCCTTGCAGTAGGTGCTTTATCTGTTTTTGCCATCTCACTTGAAACTGGCGATCCTGCCAGGCAGCCATTCTCATCCTCGTTTTTACAAACGGGAAATCCTAGCGATAAACTACCTGGCCTAAGGTCGCACAATGAGAAAGCAGCAGAGTTGGGATTTGAGAAAGCCTAGGTCTGTTTGATTTCAGAAACCACAGGGCTGGGCCCATGTCTAGCTCTGGGTCTGCCACCTGTCTGTCTGGGCTTCTCCCAGAAGAGGCAAAGTAACAACACCAGCAAGCCAGCTCCAACATGGCTTGTTCAGGAGCCCTGGTGCATCGTGGGCCTGCCCCAGCAAGGCTAGAGAACCCAGGGCAGGAGGAGTGCACTGGAAGCAGAGTCACAGGGATAGTTCTGTGAAGCCTTCCAACCCACTAGGGGCCAACAGGATCTCTGGGAGGGAGTGGGGTGCTTGGCTCCACTTGACTGAAGGGCACTGGGGGGAGTGGTCTGCCCGGGCAGAAGCAGACCAAGGGCTGACAGTGAATCCTCAACATCCAGCCCAGCCGGGTCAACATGCCTGGGAGTGGAGTCCGTCTGCAACATGTTCTGTGACACGGCTGCCCTGGTTGCTTCACCCCGAGGGCCCCCAGCACCAGCCCCCTTTCTGTCCCTAAAAGCCCCATGTCAAACAGCTGCCTTAAATCGGTAAGATGGAGCAGGCTTTCTGGATGAGCCATGCCCTTGAAGAGCCCAGGTTTCTCCTTATGCTTCCCCTGAAATCCTCAGCGTGGAACGAGCCTGAGTCCGAGGGAACACAAACAACATTCCCAGTAGGACACCTGAGCCCAGAGGAGCTCTGAGGGCGACAGCACCTGGCAGGGCCGCCTGGGAATCCTGCCGTGCTCTGACCACATGGTCTTGCCAAGGCCCTCAACACTGCCACACTGCGCTGTCCCCACTTCATCCGGATGGCCCGAACCCACTTCGTGTCCACTCAGCCGACCCAGTGAACATTACCCAGTGGAGGCACTGTGCTAGGTGACAATGGGGATGATGAAATCAACCAGAGAAACAGGGTCCCAGACTAGCTGGGGACTCAGACAAGTCAATGATCAGCCAGGGTGACTCCAAGAGGGCTTTGGAGAAGATTCTGAGTCAGGTTTTGAGAAATGAAGAGTATTGAGAAGCCGAGGGTCAGGAGGCATTGCACAGGAGCCAGGCTAAGGAAACACCGTCAGCTGATGTCAGAGCAGGCGAGGCTGGAGGACAGGCCCTGAGGGCAGAGACGAGCAGGGAAAGTTCCTGGGGATCAGATCACAGGGAGCCCTATCGTGGGCAGGACAGATGAGACTTCATTCTACAGGCAATGCAGAGCCATGAAAGGACTGGGCGATGCTAGCATGATGCCAGCTATATGTGAGGGCAATGCCCCCAGGGGCAGCATGGGGACCAAGAGCAGTGGCAAGCGGCTGGAAGCAGGGAGAGAGCCGATAGCTTTTGTGCTACCACTGGAGGAGGATGGGGACGCACTAGGGTAGGAGCTGTGAGGACAGGAGAAGGAGTGGAGAAATGAAATCCAGGAAGGTGGCATGCCAGGACCCGAGGCCTGGGCTCGAGTCAGGAAGCGTGGTGCACCTGAAGTCCCGGACAGCCAGCTCTGCACCTTGGTGATAGGTTTAAAGTTATATGGTCACCACCTAGAAAGAAAATGCTACAATGTCCCTACAATGGCCTTTCTCCCCTTCCTGGGACAGATATCTCACAAGGTGCAGGGGCTCTCCCTGGCCCCCAATACACTGATCAAGGCTCAGAGGAGAAGCAAAGGGGACTCTGAAGCCCTGCACCCCATCTCCCCGTTCTTCTGTTTGGAGACCAACAGCTGGGAGGATGGAAAAATACTTAAAAAGAAAAAAGGAACGGTTAGGGGGGAGAAGAAGATGAGACACAAGAAAAGCTATTGGTGCATGCAAGTTAAAAATCTAGAGACTAGATGTGAGTTATTAAACAATTTGCTGTAGTTTCTGCCTAGCTGATTGTTCGCATGTATGATGAGTCAGGGCAGATTCTATTACACTGGGAGATTAAGCAAATAAATGCTAGCTTTTGGAAACACATTAAAATGTGGGACTATGGAAATAAAATTATCTATAAAATTGTATTAGCAATTCATTAGCTGCAGTGAGCTGTGCGGTGGGGCAAGGGGGCCCGGCAGCTAGAACACTCTGCTCCCTTCTGCGCCTGAGCTCCTGAGTTACCTGCTGCTCCCTCCTCTGCTGCAGAGAGATCTCATGCCTGACACCACTGGGGAGAGGGGAGGAGCCTCCGCTGCTTGTAAAAGACCTTCAGAAATCACATGCAGCACGACACAAGGGAGAGAAAAGAAGACAGGGGTCCTGGCTCTGCCACTTCCTTGCCTGGTGACCCCGAGCAAGTCACTGAACTTCTCTGGATCAGAGTTTGCTCATCCTTTGCCTTCTTCTTTGCAGTTGTTGAGAGGATCAAATGAGATACCCATGTGAAAAAGCTTTATAACTACAAAGATGTGGCAGAGCCAATGCCAGCCCAGATGACGCCTTTGTCTGAATTAGAAAATGATGCCTTCTCCTCTGCGCAAACACAGATCCTCGCCTGGGCGCACAGCTCTGGCATGCACGGAGGGCTGGATCCAGCCTCCGTTTGCCCCCTCAGCTGGGCATCCTCCTGCAGTGGACAACCTGGATGAGGATCATGGCAGTCCTACACAATACACAAGCCTGAGTTGTTTCATCGACTCTGAGCTGCTTCTTCTAGGAAGCTGACCCTAGCGAAGGCATCTTGGATGAGTTACACCATTTAGGACTCAGCGCCAAGAACACCTTCTTTCTCCGAGCCCTCACAATTATAGCACATAAAACCCTTTGCTGCCTTACTTTTGTCATTCAGCCCTGCCTATGCCTACTAGATTGTAAGCCCTGCAAAGCAGGAACTATTCTCTTCATCTTTACATCCCCCAACACGGAGCACAGGGCCCTGCATAGAGCGGGCACTCAATAGCTGCACAGTGCATTAAAGAATAAATAAGGAGCTGTGGGATAATCACCAAGAGCATGGGGTGGGAGAGTGGACATAGGGCAGGGAGAGTCATGGTACAGACAGACGGGCAGAGCTGGTGAATGCTCAGACCAAATGAAGCCATTACTGAGAGCTTCCATCAAGGCT